AAAAGGGAGGAATGGGAAGGAAACCACTAAGGAGGGAGAGATTCTGACGAACGATGTGAGGCTGTTAAGAAGCCCTAAGAGGGGAAACGAGGATTGGAGAGAAAGGTGTGATGTCACTCACCTGCTGGGAGCTAGACATGTTGATAATTAGCTGCACCTCAATATTGTGAGGTCATGGTTCGTCTCTTTCTCCTTTGGTTTTGTGAAAACGTTAATTCTCTATTTTTGTATTTTTCAGTACATCCCAAACATGACTTTCTTACTTCAACTCCAAACTTCCAAACTTGTTCCTCTGACCTGGTCATTTTCTTCAGCCACCTTAGTTTTAGACAATGTTTCTGTCTCAAACCAATCATTAATCATTAAACCAATCATTATTGCAGGTCTGGCTATTGTTTCATAAACTTTTTTTCCTAATGTTTGAAACTATTTTTCTCTTTAACTACCCTTGACACTCATCTCCAACAACCTCGATATGTCTTTTGTTTAACTGCTGTGTGCATTGTTGCAACGGATCAGTGATTCACAACTATTGGTATTCGTATCTTACCACTAGGTGGCAGCAGATGGCTATAGAAAACTTAAAACAAAAGGCAGCCACTCAAAGCCTTTGGTGTGTCTTTTAGTGTGTCTTTCTTCAATTCCTGCAAATATAAGCATTGTGTTCAACTAAACAGACCAGACCCTTGTCATTGTGTGTAGTGACCCTGTTTAAAGTGCAAAAAAAAAAAAAACTCTCTTCAAACTTCCCAAATTCTTTTGCACAGTATCTTAATTGTCAGTGACTTGAATTTCCAAATTCAATGTCAATGTCTGTCTGCATTCTGACAAAGGCCGAACGACACAAAGGTACTTTTAAAAAGATAATGAAAAAAGAGAAGAACTTTTCAACATCAGAAAATAATCTTTCCTCTTGCTCTTTCCTTCATGCTCTACTTTCCTTTATATCAACAAAAATCCTGGCTTTGTCACAGACCAGGGAGAATGGTGGTAAATTCTTAACAATTTTTCTTCAGCCTTAGTAATTTCCTATCCTGGTGCAGAGAGTTTTTTTAGTTATTACTGCAAAAGAGATCATGTGGCGGTGCAATGAAGTATAAATGTAAACAGAGGACTAAGTTTGATACTATAAAGTTTGATACTTACTACTTACATGTAAATTACTACAGTTTTTATGTGTACTCTTTCCAAAATGATGACTGGCTGAACAAGATGTGTAAACAAAATAGCAGGAGACGTTAAAATTCCTAGTTTGCCAAAATTATTTATACTGAGCCAAATTTCCATAGGCTTAATAGACATTTCAAGGACTCTTTTTCAAGGACAAAAAAATGACTGTTGAAGTTCCATGTAGCTCCAAGAGAACATTTGCTTTTATCTCCAAAAGCTGTTTTTTCAGTGTGTACCAACATAAATGCCACAAAAGAGAGTCTCAGTAGGAAAAAAGTGTTTGAACAGAAGGTTGAGGCTGTCAATCACACAGCACAGAGAGCAGGAGTAGATCTACTCTGTGATGATGATGATGATGATGATGATGACGTCCCCCTGAAGAAATGGTGGTTTGCTGTAAGGCAAAAGTCCAGATACCAGCAAGAAAGGGAAATTTTCAGCAGTAGCTGCAGCAGGAAGTGACTAAGAGGCAGTGCTCACCTACAGGAGGATCATAACCAGATTCTAATCAGCTGCACCTCAGCATCAAACGCCTTTACAGAACATGCTTATCCAGCATCGACACCTCACCTCTCAGCTATACAACCCTCAGGACACAGCTGTGGCACTGTTGTCGTTGTCGTTGTTGTTGTTGTAGCCACTCTTCGAGTGTGTTTGTCATTCTGGACAGTAATACTCTGTCCGATCGAGAATGGTACCAGACAGTGTGTATTCTTTTAAAGTGTTTCTCAGATGTGTTGTGTGTCAGCCATTGTTGTTCACTGTGGCTTTTGATCACCTCACAGCACGAGGCAGTTGTTGTTTTGGAATGGCAGCAGTGTGTGTGTGTGTGTGTATTTGTGTATTTGTATGCTGACAAAAATAGCCAGTGTTGAGTTGACTCGCAACAGGTGTCCACACGACCCGACAAATACTCACAGCGCACACGATCAATGAACAGTACACAATGAGCATAGAAACGTACAGCAAAAACTAGAAAATACATTTTAAAAAATTATTGTATAAATTAATTGAAAATAATAAATGATCTGAACGTAGACCTCTGAATGGATCAACCCAATCTGGTCACCTGTGATGAACCAATACACAGACTGGTCACAAACAAAAGTGAAATGACATGTTCACGCCCCTGAAAGGAGGCAATTATTGAAGTACGGCTACAACTGGATTACACCAGTCAACCTGCGACTGTCACGTCAACCTGCAACCCCGTCCAGGTTTCTATACCGTCTTTGTACGCTAACAGGCGTGCTAAAAAACGACAGTTAGTAAATTGCATCAGTATTTATGTGGGAATTCTGAAATTAGCTTCACAGAAATATAATGAAATACATCTGAAAGTATATGTGTGTTTGTGTGTGTGTGTACATGTGTGTGCATGGCAGCCTATGTAGGGATCCCCCCCTGTTTGAAAAGTAATTTGTCCATAGGCAAACCCATCTCTGAGGGCCGTGTTAGAAGCATTATGCGCTGTAATGGGTTGACATGTTAATCTGGAACCCTATTCTCTGTGGCTAATGAACATATCCATCCTAGTCCGTGTGTGTGTGTGTGTGTGTGTGTGAGGCATATGCGTTTGTGTATGTGTACGTAGTAATTACTGGGACAAACCTAAATGTGAGATCTGACGCCAGGACGATGACATTTTTTTTTACAGTTACAACACCAAAGAGTCGCACAGTTGGAATTCCATGTCCATATTTGACAGAGAGGGATGGAGAGAGAGACGCAGAGAGGACGGGAGTGTTAGAAAGTGAGCAAAAAATGTGACAGTTTTGGGTCAGACCAGTCCCATGTGGTCAGGGAACCTTCAGAAGACATTACAAAGTATAAACACACATACACTCTCTCTCTTTCACACATTACACACATTACACACAGCTATTACAGGTGAAAAAACAAATGTTTATTTGGGAAAAGGAAAGCGTCGGAAGCTTGGAAATTTCAACTCATTTCAAATATTTCCATCTCGACCCACGACTCAAAACCAAAAACTTTCATTCATACAAAACATGTGGCTTGAACTTACGACCACGGTGGCGGCTCGGTGTAACCGGTGAGGTGTATCACCGCATTGAAGTGAAAGGCATAAACAACACACCAGCGACGAGCACGCTGAGCCTCACTGTGATTCAGCTGACACATATAAGATAGTGAGGTCAGCAGCATCGCCAACCGCTACAGCACCGCTCTAATATATTCCTCACACCCAAAACGTGAGAGATCACACACACACACAGTGAGTCTGTGTTTTACTCACGTCCAGTCTGCAGGACAGACGTCAATGGAAACAGAAAAATGGATTTATAAAAGCAAAACTACATCATCATCATCATCATCTTCATCATCATCCTTAATATCCTGCTGTAAAAAATGACCACTGCCGTGTGGGCCATGTGTGCTTGCACGTACTGTATGTGTCCACAGTCGTATGCATATAAATAAAAGACAGTCATTAAATCTCCAAAATTGTCCACCAGGTCTACGTCTGCAACACTAACGCTTACATCACTGCAGAAATAGAACATTAACCTAAATCAAGCAGAACGCACACACACACACACACATACGTATTCACATGCTTGGACACACACACAAGCACATGTGCAAAAGCAGCCCAGGGCCTGGTACTAGCATGCAGCTATGATTCTATCACACGAGGCTGCAGTAAGGCTGTCGACGTCAGCATCTTGCCATCTCTCACGCACACACAAACACGAGCAGGCACACGCACACACAGACACACTTTGGTGTGACATCATGCCGCACATTTAGAGTAAGGGGGTCAGAGGGTAACACAGCGAGATGGGCCATGGTTTTTTCCTCTAGTGGTGATTACACCTCCTCGCTGGATTTTTTTTTCATCTTCCTGAAATCTCTGAAAGTCAAGCTCTTATTAACCCTATTACTCAGTCCGCTCCACTTCAAAGTCTTCAACTTCCTATTTAAATCCTCCACATTATAGTAGAGAGATTTTAAAGTGTTTTCTTGTATATTCCTATCATTTTAAATGCTTTCCAGTACTTACACTGAGATATATACAGATATATAATCTGAAGTAAATAGTAGTACTCTACTTAAACTTAGTTACTAGCAAACAACAGAAGCACAGGCCTGCTAGCTGAGAATTATGCAAAAATCTACTGTGATTTTCAACATAGTGGAGGCTAATACTGATATTTCAGTGCAGAAAAGTAAGTCATCTACTGTAAGTGTGGAGATGGTTCTGAATGTTCTCTAACAGACAGGTTCTTCCAGGGTTCCTCCATGAGTACGTGATATGTAGATTTGGAGTTTGGTCTAAGGAAAACTGTGCTCGATTTAAACGTATGTATTTGTTGTTAAAAGTCCAGAGTAATGTCATTCTAAAGAAGTTAACGGTCAAAACATTGGCATGTGCGATGTGAACAAACCTGACAGTTGTGTTGTGTTATGTCATAACCAGTACAATGCAACATGGACTGTTTTTGTTTTAAACCTCATATTTGGTCCAGAGTGTTACTGGTGTCTGTCAGCTGTCGACCCATCAACTCTAATCAGTCGGTACTTTTTAATATATTAATGAATATACATATTTGACACAAACTTGTGTAACATAATTTTGACCCATTGTTCCTTTTCAGAATACAACCATTGAAGCTGCAACTGACGATTCACAGCACAAATCAAGCAGCAAACACTAAAAACTCCATGTCTGTAGCCACCTTGTCAACTTCAACGTCATAGTGACTCATCTGTCAACCCAAAACACTAGCAGCATGTACCCCGGCAGCATCCCTCCCACCGACAGCTGGAAACTCCTCCGTCAGAGGCCGGCGGCCGTTCCTCACCTGAGGCAGTGCTGCGTTGATCTGCCGCTGGAGCGCGTCTCTTTCGTGCAGCGCCCCCTGCAGCTTGGTCTGAGACTGAATGAGGGTCTCTTGCGTTTCCCTCAGGGACTCCAGCAGCTTGTCCCTCTCGTCCAGCATGTTGACCATCAGCTGCTCGAAGTTGGCCTCCTGCTCCGAGCCGTTTGGAACGCCGCCGGTGCCTCCTCTCGGAGGACCAGCCGAGTCTCCCTCGTTGATGGTGGGCATCACCTCGCACATCATCTTCCCAGCTCTGTGCTTAGGGCAACGCTAAAGGACAGTGTCGCTGTCAGGATTGGGAATTTGAATAGGTGGGTGGGAGGGGAGGGGGGGAACAAGCCTGATGCACAGACTTACATTAACTGATAAGAGGGCCTTTTAACGCCCCTTTGCAACCGATGATCGTGCGCGCCTTACTTCCCATTATAAATTTCTCGTGCGCCACGCGTGCACGCTTTGCATCACCTTACCTAATCAGAGGCACTGAAATGAGGGGAAGATGGTCAACCTTTCATCCATGTACACCGACGTGTCTTCACACACCGAGCAGATCCGCCCTTCCCGGCGCGCCATGCACTCACATGTAGAAATCCCGGTGCGATGTGACTGACAGCTCACTGATAGACGGCTGCGTTTGGAGGGGTGTTGCCCGCGGCCGAGACCGAGACCATCCGAAGACAACATCCGAGGGAGTGTGACGTTTAATTTGTGTCCATTTACTCCCCGAGACATCGATAGCGAGTGTTATCTGCATCTGCCTACTCCGTGTCCATCTCTCCAACCTCACCACCAACGACGAACCCAGGCTCACTCCCCCTCCCTCCTCCCACACAGTCTCTCTCTCTCTCTCTCTCTCGTCCCCCCCACCCTCCTTCGCTGTGAGTAACATTTTTGGATGGCCTAACTCAACATCCCTTAACAACAAGAAAGCTTTTTTAAAAAAATAGAAGTTCAGATAATGAAGTTTTAAATACCTTGGTGATACTTCAGATTTATTATTTATTTTTAAATTTGTTAAGAATCAAGATGTTTAATAGCAGGTAATACCAATTCCAATAATATTATTCAATATTTAGTAAGACACACTAACTAAAAACATACAGTGACCTGGTGTCAACATTGCTTGGGAAAAAAAAGAATTGTACTGACTATTTTGGTTTTAGTAATACTATGAGTAAAAGTACTAATAACTATACATGTTATTTCTGATTCCATCTGCGCAGACTCATCCTATTAGCATTTCACACTATATTTAGGGCCAATTTATATCCTATTAGCATTTCACACTATATTTAAAACCAAAGGCCAACACATTAGCTGGAAGCTCATTCGAGATGTCACACTGAATTCTTACCAAGTTTGTTTTATTTTTCATTTGTTACTTTAATATGCATGAATAACCCTTATGTCTACATATAATCAATAATTAATTTTTCAAAAATAAACGCCCTCACTCATATGATTAGCAGTAGAAAGATTCCTGTATGATCATCACAGGTACAGTGCACCCTGTTTCCTGAGGAGGGAGATATTTGGTTCTGTTTCTCGTGGACACTGCATCGTGGTTTCTGTAGTTGAAGAACTTATCAAATCATTCTACATGATCACATTTACGATTTCAGTAAAAAAAAAATTCCCATTGCATGCAGATGTCTATGAAAGCGTTCCTTCGCCACTCAATCGTGCTTATTATATGGCTGTTTATTGCCACCTAGCGGTTGATACAGGTCAAACAAGGAGCGTTGACAAGCTCTTATTAACGTGTGACAACGTCATATTATTCGCCTGAATTCTAATCTTCACTTCATTCAAAACACTATTGAAACAATTGCGTTTCATACAAACAGGAAGGGATGCATAAAAAATTAAATAATCAAGGCAACAATATTATTCTTATTAATTATATTTATATTAATAGAATATACTGGGTTTTAATTTGTAAAATATGACTTTGATCCGAAGAAACGTCATTAAAGTCACAAATGAAAGTAAGTGTCGTATTACCCCAAGTGTTGGTAGGCAGCATTGCACTAAGCAACCGTCAAGGCAACAGTGCCCCGCTGTTGAACTACATAACTAGCCCCAATGAAAAATAGTATTTCAAAACACATCTATAAGGAAGACGAATGTCTCACATTGGCTTCCTATAAAATGGAAGTGACAAGTCCAGTACCAGGCCCACACTCCACACCAGTCGGTGGCGGTAATGCACCAAAAGTTGTGTTCACCGACCAGCACCATAGGCAAGAAACAGAGGATGACGCAGACAACCAAGTTCTCGCGAGATGTCTAACATCACGTCATTCCATGATGGCTGAAGATTCCGGCGGAACATTTTTCAAATTCTCTCTCATTTTTCCTTCTTTCTCCCCACCTCACGTTGCCATTGAGACATGGCAGGACTCACACCCCCGTTAAGTGTTCGTAGATCATTGGTGTCGACATGCCCAAGAAAGGGAACCGAAAACGGCTGAAGTTTAAGGCTGGTGACGTTTGTTCGGAGTCAGGTGGGGATTGCGTTTACATCAGCGATACATTAGCCTGCCCACAGTTAGCATAGTTAGTAGATTCTCAAATAGCTACTAATATTTGTGAATAAAAGGCTTCTTGAAAATAAGAGGTCATGTTAAATATAAAACTCTATACACTTTTTTTTGCTAATATATGTTAACAAATACGCTATAAAAAGTGCTTATCACGCTAGCCAGAACAAGGAAATGTTTACTAAAATGTAAATGACACGAACGCTGCAATTTGTAAAATCACCTGCAAATATTATACGTCTTTAATTTAAATACTCACTGCAACTGTATCTCACTTATCGTTTTGGCAAGATTTATTACATTTATTTCGAGCAAATGAATAAAATGCACATAGCTAGATAAACGTCATTTTAATTCACACTTAAAGGTTTTTCTTCAATTCTAAAACTTGGAAGATTATGATATAGTTTGTATTATTAATTTTTGAATACTAAATTTTAAAGAAAGTTGAAAAATGCAATGCATATTTTAGTTTTTTTTAATTAAGCAATTCATTTGATGTCTTGAATTAATTCTTGATTTAAAAAAAAAACTATTTTTCTGTCACCATCTTCACAATTTGACCACATCCCACACTTTGATAAACTTAAAAAAAAAGTTAAATGTGATGGTTTATTTTTTTTAGTGACTGTGGCTGATTATGCCGATGCCGACCCAGCAGTGGTGAAGTCAGGGAGGGTGAAAAAAGCTGTTGTGAATGCAGTTGCTAAAGAAGGTAAATTTATGGCTGTACTTGTGTCTTTATGTCTGTGTTGTCAGAAGACTGTCCCTAGTGTTAAGTCCATCATTTTATTCCAATTATTTACTCATTAAGTTATTTATTTCAGTAAAATCACTCTGCGGCCTTGAAGCGTCCCAGGGTGTTGTAGAGGAAGTCCTCACATCTGCAGTGATTTGCAGAGTTACAACAGAAACTCTGGACAGCAGTGATGACCTTGACCCTGAAGAAGATGGAATAAATGAAAATAAAGTTTACCTTAAGAAGAAAAACAAAAGAAGAAAGGGTTTGTTTGATTTTTATCTATAAATCAGATAATCAGTGAAAATCTCCTGTCAAGTTGATCAGTGTATACGTTCTTCACAGAGAGCAGTGAAGGGGAGGAGTATCCAGTAGATATTTGGTTAGTGCTCTCCTCCTACATTAGGCCAGAGGATGTTTGCAGATTTGCTTTGATCTGTAAAAATGCCTGGACAGCCACTTGCACTGCAGCCTTCTGGAAAAGACTCTATAGAAGGTTAGATTTTTCCTTTCCGGTAAATTGTGATGTTTTTTACACAGGCTCATAAAACTGAATCTAAACTTGATTGAGATTAATGATGCATTTCTTCTTGCCTTTCAATTTTCACTTTCACAAAAAGGCACTACAAGATGGACGCTGATCTGCCGTGTCGTCTTCAGCCAGACTGTATTGATGTGATGCACTGCCTAAAAGCCCGTGTCATTCGCTCACTTTTCCATTTGTATGAGCCATTCACTTTGCGTGTCTCGAAAATTCCTGCCCTGCCAGAATCAACACCTACAACCTTGCTCAACTCTAAGGTAACGCCATAGATATAATACTGCTAATTTTTTAAGTTTTTTAATATTGGCTAATGTATAGCTAATTTTTTTTTAAAATACATTTTCTAACTTTGACATTTTAGAAATATCTTGGTTTTGATTTTGTTTTTTTCTTGTTGCAGTGTTTACTCTTTTCATTTAAAAGGCTGTCAGGGACTCGACCAGAGGCATTATGGGAGTTTAACTTCAAGTTTGTTAAACAGGTAAATGTTAACATTCGTGATTAAACACAAAGAAATTATATAATTTACTTGTTCATTTGCAACCTTAAATGGTGGACTTCTTCTTTAACTTTTAATAAGGTAATTGTTTTTTTGCTATGTTTGTGATTATTCTATCTATCTGGTTGCCCCATCACAGCAGAGACACATCAGGAATGGTTGTGTCAAGTCCTTGTCTTTGCCCAGACAATATGAGGAAGTCCACAGAAACCCTGATTCTGATTGCTACGTACTGCAGGTCACCACACTCAACTTCATTTACTTCCCTGTGGTCATGGGCATGACATTGACCCTGGTTAGTACTTCTTGTTTTTTGAATAAACTTTAATTCACTTTTTACACCCACTAAAGTATTTGTCCTTCACTTCAGTTCACAATCAATGTGAGCACAGACATGAGACACCATCGCGTTCGTCTGGTGTTCACGGATTCACCGCACCACAAGAGTAGGAAGAGAGTGGACCACAGTGGGACACAGGTCGTTTTGGATCCTGTACACAGTGTGAAGCTGATGGACTGGTGGCATCCACAGTACCCCATTGTTTACTCCACTTAGACCTCACTCTGTTCTGCTGTAGAACACTTCTTGAAGAACCTCTTACTCATTCCATGCACAAAGGGAATAAAGAAAAACAATGGAAGATCCAGCAAGAAGGACAAAAGTCTAATCTATCACCGATTTTCATTGTCTTGCCCTTTTATTCAACTTAGAGTAATGCAACTAGTAACTAAATTGCCTTGTTCTATGTAATATATATACATATATATATATACACACACATATATATATATATATATATGTATATGAAGATGTGACCTGTGAAAATCCAATGTTTCACAGACATTAATTAATTTTGATTTTGCAACTTTAATCACCACTGTCACAATACAGGAGGAAAGAAAATAAACGACATTTGATTTGTCACGGTATAACCGACCCCCCTGCTGGACACATGCAGTAATACGAGCCTGTAATTTAAAAGTCAAATGTCTTTCCCTGTGATCTTGACACAGTCATTTTCGTGTTTCCAGTCATTAGAGGGGCAACAACATAATTATCCAGTATCGTTCTAATAGTGGGCTCTACATGTCTGTGATCTGATTATAAAAATCATGCCAATGCCCACACAGGTAACTATAATCCTGCCTTAGACTAATTGTAAAGAGGAATGTATGTAATATATAAATACCTGTGTGAAAGGTGTGAATTACATGACTCTTTATGATTCAATTTAATTTTGTTTTATTGTGGGTCATTGGGAAAACATTGAACTCTAATGTGAGACAATTGAATGTTCATTCAAAATTAAGTGAGATTTTTTTTGCATGGCTTTGATTTGTGCTTTTGTTAAATTGTCATTTTATTTCTTTAAAAAAATATTTTTTGAAATGTAATGTACTTTTAAATGGCCTCACCTGACATTAATAACAGTGCTGTTCACTGATGCAGCAAGATATTGACAATAAGTTACATGCTAAGCTCCTGATCTAGACCAAGTTATTTAAGAAGCCAAAACGTGTTTATCATTGTCCTACTGATGTGTTCACAGTGTTTTAGTGCTCAAACTTCACAGCAAGAACACCCCTGGTTGCATTACAAGTGGTAACTCGTGGTCATTCTGTAGGGAGTTTGCCAGTTCTCGTACATGTGTTTTCTCCATGTGCCCATAGGCTAAAAACTGGTACATTTGTTTAATTGGACTTTCTAAATTGACCTTAAGTATGTCCGGCAGACTGTCCAGGGTCCTGGGTGACCTGCTCATGATTGATGACTGCTGGACCAGACCAGATAAAGGATAAAATCCCACTAATAATATTAGCAACACCCCTTACTACTGTTCATTTGTCTTGCTTTTTCTGTTCTAAATTTGTATGCGCACAAATTGTTTGATCACATATGCCATAGGTTTAACTCCAAATGTCAGAACATGACAGCGAAGACAATTGTTCTTGTGGCTATCAGTAGGTGAGTGATTGATTTCAGTAACTGTGTAAAAATTCCAATAGTTATCAATGATACGCCATTAAAACAGAAAATAAAACCGCTAAAGTCAAATGTCCCTGGTCTACTACTGCTGTCATGAAATTCTGATATTGCTTCCCTCATGTGGCCAAATTGGGCACTATTTTTTTTTAATTGAAATTGACTCAGTTTCAGGCAGTTATGGAAAGTATGTTGGTTCGATTATATCGATTCATTGATTTATAGTTGATTTTATTTGAACTATTCAAATAACAGTAAATCCGTTGACATCAGTTAATGCCTCTTTTGCTTCTACGAGGGTACAACGGGGGCTGGAATTATAACAATAAATAATAATGATAATATAAAGAACACTTCAGGATGTCTATTATTAGATTACAATTAATAAAATAATTTAAATTTTAAGTCGCAGTCCTAATATTTTTTAGGTCGAAAATATTGAAAATTTTAAATAACCAAACGATTCACAAACCTGTTGAACTTTCATATAGAGCCTGTGCCATTGATTCCCGTTAAAGACGTTTACGTAATTTCAACAAATGTTCCAAAATTCTCAAATGCTTACGTAAAGCAGCCATATAAGATTGACCCTATGTAGCGCTTTTTCCTAGTCGCTTAAATCCTAATGTCGCTTCATAAATTTAAAACTTTTTACAATAATCCTCCAGGGTGGAACAGTTCAGAGGACCACTGACCAACTGTGCCCCTATTCGCCGTCAACACGAATCACGTCATTGCCCTAAAATAACCTAGCTGTCGAAATCTGTAAGAGAACTACATTTCCCAGAAATCTTTGTGCATCTTGCCATTGGCGGTGGCACAGGTGACCACACGCTCCGAGTTGTGACAACCTCTCGACAAAAAACGAAAACAAATTCCCCTCTGAGCGTCCATTGGTGCCACACGCTGCTGAAGTCTGTGGAAACAGATACGAGGAAACTTTAAATTATTACTTTTAATTTTTTGTCTCTTTTCCCCCTTCCTCACTGTCAGACACAATCCTATCAGAGCGCAGAGACACAAGTGGACGAGCACTTTTCGTGAAAGCGACTCGGCTTGTTCGTGTCTGACCTTCACAGCGGGTAAGCGATATTTCTCTAACGACACTCAAATGTTGCTTCCGTTCAAACACCCAACAGCCCTGGAGGTACAAACACACAGAACGTTTGCTGCCTAATTCTTACTTTAAACGTTTACTTTTCTATTGTTATGTATTGTCTCAGTGGTTGTGCTGTAGTTATTTCCTCTTGTATAGCATTTAAATATTTTCAAATCGTGTTTTTCAGCCATATTGAACTTTAAAAACAAGGATAGCATCCCATTTCGCCACTTAGCATAATTTGATATTTGGTGTCTCTAACTTTAAAAACTCTAACTGTTATCATTTGTTTCATACTATTAATAACGAGCAACATAGAACGTATCCCAGAGAAACTAAAACAAAATAATTTACTTTATATACACAACCACTCCACCACCCACTATGTCCTCAAGCGTCTTGATAAACAGTTGAAAAACACACACACATTTATATTATTTTACAGAACACCTCTTAGTAACTGAATTAAATAAAAAAAAAAACACAGCTGTTGAGTTCTTCAACAGGGACATGGATATTACATAGGACCATTGAGTTTGACCATAATGCACCACTGGGTTCAGAGCTGCCATTTATAATCACTTGGCCTGTATCAGTAACAACACCCCAGCCTCGGGGGTATGCTGCTATGTATAAGTTGTGACTACAAATTGCACAGGTCGTAATGCTGTGATATTTATTCAAGTGCGTTCCTTGAGAGCACACTGATGCCTAACTTAATACCCTTTTTGGCCCTGTCCCTGTGCAGTGTGTATTTGTCTGCACGCACGTCTTAAACAGCACTAGGACATGAACTTCTAGTACAGTGGTCCTCAAACATTTTATACTCTGTACCACCTGCAAAAACATTGAGCTCTCAGAGTACCACCATGTTTAAATGTTGTAATAATTGTGCATGGTATGTCTCAGATTTATTAAGTTGAAAATGTAAATGTGAAAATATGAATTTTCCCCGCATACCGCTAGAGAGCGCTCAGCATAGTTTGAGAACCATTGTTCTAGTACATTCGGGACAAAATAATTGCACTCCAACACAAATCATCAGCTGTCAGTTACATAAATGAACAAATTAATCATCTTTATGTGTTTAAATGAAAGGAAAAGGATTCGATTTCTTTTCTAAACCTTTTTCTAATTTTGGGTGTGTCTGTGCATGTGTGCGTGCATTGCAAGCCTGAAGGTTCTAATTTTAAATTTAGAAAATCAGCTTTGCCATTTTAAACAGCTTCATCTCTCCCAAGTCTGCGTCTCAGCTATAATCCTCAAGTGTTGTGCTAGTCCAAAAGACTGAGTGATGTTATTGATAAGCTTTGGTCAGTGTCTCTGAACAAAAAACATCTTGGGTAAAAAAAAAAAAGTTTGACAGCTTGTTACGTCATGTGAAGATAACTGTGTTTTTATGTGACCTTTTGACTTGTCAGGCTTCTCAGATCTCTATACTCTACAGTAGGGCAGATTGGTTTTTTTTATGAGATAATTGTTCTGAAACTTTATTGTATGGGTTTTTTGGGATGTGAATTGTTAAGAATCTATCGAAATATGAATAGAGTTGTTCAATATCTGTTTCCATGTGTTAGGTGTAGAATTGAAATAGTTTACTGTTTTGGTGTGTTCTGCCCATCTGTGATGCAGGCAGCTGATGGGAAGTATGTCTTGGCTTGTTATTGATGAGGAAGTTGTGCAGGGAAGTCCCTGCCGAATATAGTTATATTGGGTTGTTTTTCTTGATTATTATGTATTTGAGGCTTTTCAAATACATTAATATAGAACTGAGGGTCTTGCTGCTCTGGTATATTACCACAGGAACAAAGTTCTGGCTGACCATTGAGTCTCCATTAACTTCAGGATCACCTACTGTCATAGCCACAAACCCTGTTTGCTGATTACTGTTAAGCACTTTTGCTTCTGCACTGCACCAGTGTGAAGTGACCACAATAAAGGCCAAAGGTCAGAGCAGAGCGGTCACAATAGTCCTGATAATTTATAATTCTGACACTTTTCTTTAAAGCCTTTAAGTTCAATGATGCTTTTGCTTTCATTTTGAAGAAAGGAATTTCCCAAACAGTGGCCAAGTTGCGACACTTGTGTTTTGAAACACTTTTGGGACAAGCCACAGCCATAGGTTTCAAGAAGAAACACACAGATAACCCCTGTATAACCCCTGTAACAGGAATCAACATGAAAATCAGATCCATTTCTAAACAATCGTCAAAATATGTTACTTTCTTTTTTATATCTACATTATACCTTGGCTGATCCTGATTCTGTGATCCTCTTTGTGATGTGCATATCCTTGTCTGTCAGTGACAGATATGGAACGCAGGCAGAACTGTTCAGCATGTGCACCGTAGCATCTCTTTTGTCCATGCTTTTGTCATTTGTGCAGAATGATACCTGGCATATTTCTGCTAATCAGTGGGGGAAAAATCTCAACACAAACAATGTGTCTCTCAAGCTATTAAGCATCTGCTTCAATTGTGACATACTGTATAGGCAAATTCCTCATGGCATGCCTAATTGTTTTTTTTTTTCTTTTTTACCTTTGGCATGCATACTTTAATTCAACCACAATAAGTTATGTGTGCTACCCAAATGATGTATTTGCCCATAGACCAGAATGTCATTGTATTTAATCAATTTTATTTAATATCAAACATGTGATGACACTTTTCACAAATTGAAATTCTTGTCTTACCAGGAATTTTTTTGAGGAAGTAGTAGCAAAGTGTCTTATGACACCGAAGTTCATGTGTATGTGCTGAATAAATTTCATTATTACAGACGATGTGAGTGAATGTGTTTAGGGCCTATACAAACCAGCTTCACATACAGTAATAACAGTGGAAAAATTGTGAAACATCACATAGTCAAATTACAGGTATTTAGTCATCCACCACTGAATAAAAGATATGCCCACACTGTAAATCTGCTATGTAGTTGCAGTTTTGGATTTTTATCTTAAACACAACTGCTATGCTACTGAAACTTAAGAAACTGTTTTATTTCAAACGATTTCTGGTAATTTTACATTTGCCTTATGCTGTATATGTTGGTGAAGCACAGATGTGTGGTGACGGAGTACAATAGGTTCCAAAGGCCAGAGGTCAGTAAACAAACTGAGCTCTGAGGTCACAGTCAGTTTGGTCAGAGTTCAGCAGCTAACATTCAGAGTTGCCCTGATGCTTGACAGAGTCACTGCACTTGCTGTCCTCATGGCACAGCTGCAATCTTTATAGTTGTCCAACAAAGGAAAGCAGAGTTGAGTTTTACAGCAGAGGGCTACCAGTCATAGCTGAGATTGTAAGGTCTAAAGAAGTGCTTTATGATTAGAGTTGAGGAGAAAGGCTTCAACAAAGTTTGCAAAGCAACACTCAACACTTTCACTGAACTATCGTCAAGAAAGGCAGTAATGACTAAAAATCCCCAAACTCTATGAAATAAAATAGAGTACAGAGTATTCATAGTTTTTTTGGCGTTTTTCTCTATTAAAAAAAATACTATCCTTAGCCAACAAATTAGTTAAACAGATGTTTTCCTCAGAAACGCCCCCCCCCCGTTTTACATTATATTCATCATTTAAAAGTAAACAAATAAAATGTGACTAACGTTTGACTAATGTAATAGTAGATCATTTGCAGAATATTTGACACATTTTTTAGGCTGGGTTTATGCTCTGTATTTTAAATATTGAAGCGACATTGTAGCTCAGCATTGTAGCTCAGATGTGTTCTGTGGACTGTGTACATGGAACAGTGTTGATGGGTTACATCTTCAGCCTCATTGACCTAATGTACGCTTGGAAATGTTGGCAATAGGGTCACGTTGGTGCACACACACACACACACACACACTCTCTCTCCCTAATGTGGATCACTGGAAAAGTCACAGTGAATTTACTCTGGCATGAAAAAGCATCAGGTGTCTGTAAACACAATTTCAACCCTGTGGCATATGGAAGGATCTCTTTCGACCTCCACAGTTTTTCTGCCTTTCGTGACTGACGGGAAAATGTGTATGAGGAAGTGTTTCAGTGGTAAACCCGTTGTGCCTCAAAATAAAGCAAAAATAAAACACAACAGAGTGAGAAGCAAAATAAAAACACATGGAAACACATAACAAAAACATGGTTGGGTTTTTATCCACATTCACCCGAATCGCAGCACGACGATGTGTTTGTTCTGTGACAAATTGACTCATGATCTGTCAGAGGTGTGTGTAGGTGGGAAACAAGAAGACATGTGCTGAGTGTGTGACTTCACTTCTTTATTTTGCCTCCTTCATGTGGTTTCATATCCTCTTTAACTGACGAAATAGTAGTAGGTCTATGTCTCTGCTGCATCTATGAACCACACACACACACACACACGACAGCTGCTTTCTGTTTGTTAGGACATTGTGCTTTGAAAGTACAAACGGCAGGGGTTTATCACAGCAACTTTAGCTCACTCAGATCCCCATGAATAATGCCACAGTTAGACTTTGACAGATACTCGAGGTCCGTCATCACGGGGATTCTTTTAAGACATTTCGACCTTGTGTCCTCAAACTTCCCCCCTGATTTTTTGTTTTGGATGATTCGCCACAATCTCAGGGTAAAAAGCATTGCTCTTAGCCTCTAACTCTAGCAGGTGGAGGAAAATGTTGCACAGTTTGGTTTTGACAGTTTCTTATCTTAATGAGATATTTTGCAATTTTTTTTTGCAAACACAACCTCTTTACCTTATGAAGATGATCTTTCAGTATTTCTGTGATGCTACAGTTTCATTTTCCCACACTCACGACTCACACACGAATGCCCAAACATCCTCACCCTTTTGTTTGTGTTTTCTCTTTTCCTCCGTACACAGAAACCAGCCACTTTCCCTTTGCCTAATTATTACTTTGTTCTCCCAGTAGCCAAAAGGCTGAGATTAAAAGCTGAAGGCAGAGTGTCAGAGGATAAAGGGTTTCTTCCAGTGTTGAGTCTGGGTGTGTTGATGGTTGTACATTACTGTTGTGTTTTCAGTAAGCCCTGTATCAGCCTATCCATCACCGTAAGGCCTTCATTCCATCACTGCAGTAACTTTCACCTATGCAAAAAATGTTGTACAGCTAGTTGTCTAACTGATGTCCTGCGCTATCTGAGCAATTTCTGTTTTTACAACTGTGTTTTTTCTTTTTTTTTTTTGTAATTCATCTAACTTGTGTTTTTGACATCGAGAAACAAAAGAAATGACAACAAGTTGCATATTTTATATGGTTTATATTACAGGAGTCAGACAGTAAGTTATGTGGCACTAATATAAACGAAGGATATTTAAAAGTTATGCTCCATTTCACAATTTTCGGTTGTGAAATGGAGCATAATACAACACAACAGAGGATTTAATCAGGTATTGTGGTTTCTTAAATGATGAGGAATACATACAAAATTCTATGTTCGGAAACTTACAAAGTGACTGTGTTTCAGTGGAATTAAATTTGCTCTTAAATCTCACTCAAGATCAGATCACTGAGTTCAATGTTTACAAAAACAAGGAGACTTTAAAATTATCTCTCTCCCCATAATTTTGCTCATATGATCTTGGATTACATTATGAGACAGAAGATGTATCATTGTAGCTAAAAAAATGCATGCACTTTGTGTACAAAAGATTGTAAAACTAAGTATCACAACACCATCTTTTTTTACTCCACAGCATATTTTCCAAACACAATTAAATCTTTTCCTCAGAACTACAAACTGCACATATTCCTGAATCTATACATTTAAGTTTAAATTATGCAATGGAAAGCAAACAGTGAATGCTGGCAGCTGTATTGACTAACAGAGAACACTGAGAGGTAGCCTTAGGACCGACTTGACCTGGACAACAACTGAGTTGTTTGACACTTTCAATAGAGTTACGATGATGGTCTATTTATGTCGTATTTGTTTGCAGCCTTTTTGCAACCATGGTGATGGATAGAGGTAATGGCAGGAGTCTTGCAAGCTGGACAAGTAGAAAAGTTTCAAGTGCGACATAAGTGCATATATGTATACGTGTGTATATGTGAAAATGTGTGCACGTGCTGGTCTTGATGGGTGTGTTTAGATACTGGCATTGTCAAAAAAGAACAAGTCTGTCTTGGTCAATGATTTCCCCTCCTACACATATGTCTTACGACTGGACAAGAACGCAGCTCTCCTGACCAATAAGCTGGTGTTGTGGAGGGGCCCTGCCCATGTACCAAAATAACCCAGTAAATACACTGCAGGCACTATGAGAACTGGAGCTGGCCCACTGGCAAATGCTTTGTGTACAAACAAGGGCTGCTTGTAGGTCTAGAACTGCTGATCCTTGCTGGCCACTGTTCGCCTCTCTAGTGATAGGCACAACTTACCGGCGGGGCATAGATATTGTGGTCTGTATTTGTGAGTAAAATTGGAGTAGTTGGGTGGTAAATTAAAGACGTTTCAGTTTAGTAGCACATCATCATCCAGTTTCCCCATAACTAACTAAGAATTTATTAAAAGTCATTTGCGACAGTGTAAAGGATGGGTGTTGCAGTAGGTATGGTTCTGGTGGGTTTTTGTGTGAACAAGAGACTGTATATAATATCTGGACAAGGCCGTCTATGATCAGGTGCCATTAGTGTCAATTCTTTTGTCTAGTTATTCAATGACTGGGAGTTGCATGACTAGAGATTTCTTTCAAGCCAAATCTAATCGAGTCGGCAGTAACTTAGTAACAAAGTACTGTAACTCCTAGGAAAAGCAAACATTTGTGAAAGAAAACAACACAGGGAGGAGCGTACAGGTCAAGTCATGCACCAAGTTGATTACTTGACCTTTTTTAACCTATTTTGGCTCTTCAGTGTATCTTCACTTGAATACAGTTTCTGATTAGAGTAAAATGTTTTAAAACTTTTAAAACTTTACAGTAAAGTCTGCTGACAATAGGACACCTATCTCCTCAGATCTGTGTCTGCATTAATGTGGACATTCTTTTAAAAAAGCAAATGTGCTGATTCACTCCCTACTAGTTGGGAAAAACAAATGCACTTTGTGGTAGAAAATTAGCAATTGCTTTCAGGGATTTCGGTGTGTCCTCTGCATATACATATATAGGATAGCTTTGTGCAAACGCTGTGTCGTCTTTGGAAGGAGGCTGCATTGAAGTTAGAGAGTTTACACTGGAGCAGCACAGTGCTCTTTTTGTTGCGACACTGCAACTCACAGACCAACTAAGGGAAGAGTAAGATGAATAGGAAGCAGAGCTTGTCATTTCAAAGAGAGAGAGAAAGATAGAGAGAGAGAGAGAGAGAGAGAGAGAGAGAGAGGAAGGTGACTAACAGCGAGTGTCACCCAGCCTACTGTAACTCAGCTGGTACAGGGAGGAGTGGCTGCACGACCACTGAACCGGCATATGTATGCAGCGGTTGGTCCAGTTCAGCCAGCAGTCGTTTGCCTGTCTCAGTCAGAAAGTCAACACGTGGAGGATCAAACATCTCTTGGATAAACTATGTTTTCTTTGGAATAGGGGAGTAGTTGCTGGTAAGAATAAACTCATCCTGTTTTTATATGCTTACGTGATTCTCAACGCCATGCTGCTGACACTAGGCTGTTGAAACTACTTATTCACAAATAAATGTGAATTTAAGAATAACATTAACTCACTAAATATCTTGTCAGAAACTAATCTAATTATTTACTATTTCTAAACTAAACCTTAAAAACTCCTGATGTAACAGCATAGTTTGTCACTGTGGGTTCTGTGGAGCCAAGTGGCGGCACAGAGATGGCACTTGTTTGGCAGACTGATGGAGAAACAATGGAAATTAAAAAAAAAACAAAAAACAATTGTTTGTTTCTCTGCAAGAAGGAACCAACACAAGTTACAGAAAACAATGTCATTGTTTCACATAAGACATTTGATAGACAGGCTAGGTTTGAGTTTGTCGTTTTAAAACTATTGTATAATTATTTATTTATTATTTATTTAAAATTTCTCGGAAAAAAAAAAGATTGGGGGTGTATGCCTGTAGCATGCTTCAGTCCTGGAGACTGTGGTAGGACAAACGGCTTTTGTTATTTCCCTGGGTTGTCTGTGGAGGAAGTTGCTTCACAAGTAGGAGTTGTGAAAATTGATGAAAGGAAATGGGAACTGATGAATTGCAGTCATTGTGGCTGATGCTGGTAATTTTGTGTTTTTATGCCTGTGATTTATTTTAAATCACTTTGAGTCACTTATTGAGACACGACTGGATGTGTGTCTGCGCTGATGATGTCTCATTATCTTCTTAAATAGGATGACTATTTTTCTTGAAGCTCCGACCAGGGCCGAGTTGACACATTCATTCTGACCAAGGGCCTCTCTATGTCAGCTATTTTTAGACTAGTATTTAGAAGGTGTCAGGCTTTGTGATTCCACCACAGTTTTGGTGAATCATTCAGACGACCTTCAGGAATATTTGGAGAAAGGCTGTGTTATTGCAAAATATGGCCAAAGACATTGTAATATACTTCAGCTGATGCCCATTTATTTTTAATCTGTTCTTTGTATTATTATTAACAAATCAGAAAAAGTAAAAAAAAAAGTATATATAAATGTATACATACAGAACTACCATCATAACCTTTCTAAACATTTTCCTGAGCATTAGAAGGAGAACTGAGATAAAGAATTAAATCAGAGAAAGCTTTGATGCTTGACAATAAAAAATATGGTTATTGTCTGTCAACAAATCACCAGATATAATACCATGGTCTTTTCATTGCTTCTCTCATGGCATTGTGTTCTTTCTGAGCTGAGATGTGTGTTGTACCTGCTGCTTCCCTCTCATTAACACACTGCTGCTGCTGTGTTCTTTTTTTACGTTTAAATTGACACATTCATCTTCTTGTTTACACTTTTTAATCAATGTTTTTTTTTCTTTGTTTCTTTTCATTCCTACTCTACTGTCCATACCTCCATCTTTGCTGCTCCATGCCAATTGCCATCACTTACTTCAGCATCCCGACATGTAGTGGGCAGTTTCTAAGCTGAGACCTGAGTCATCTTTCTGCATTTTTTTTCCCTCATAATCAGGTAATTTTGCATGTTTTACAATGGTGCATGTGATTGCTCTCCATCATCTGCCTTCCAAGTGGAAAATCAAAATTTGATAATCCAAAAAATGACCTCCCGTGACCTGAACCATGTTGTACCCATAAACCTATGTCTACTGTTACTAACACCCTAAAATCTGATGCTAATCTGACGATTAGCACAAATGTGAGGTGGTAACAGAAAGGGGTTTATATGTAACGCAGCAACTGACCCAATAAAATACCAGTCCTGAGTGTGTGAACATGATATGAGTTACTGTCTGTCTCTGTCTCAGTGCCAATGCAGAGAGAGTGACCGCTTACCCTGACCAAATAGGAAGAGGATAGGACCCCATACTTGCAAAGCCAGTCCTGACACCTAATCTCACTCACCTTACTTGTTGCATGTTAAAGAATATTGGCACTGGTGCGCCGTTCGCTCTGAAAGAGCTACACAAAAGCTTGCAGATGCTGTCGACCAATAAGGCACATGCAAATGTACCGTTTTTGTGCACTGGTCTGTTTGAGCACACCAGCAACACACACATACCAGACGCACACAGCATGGCTCAGGGGAACGAGGTGCTCCTGAAAAGGGGAACAGAGACCTCTGGGAGTTTTTTTTAGACGTAAGTGTAGGCAAACAGACATCTTAATGCTGAAAGGGTGCAAATGTTTCTGTGTGCAGTGATGAAAAGGCTGATGAAGTTCACAGCGCACTGTCATCTTTTTGATTTCAACTGATATACTGAAATTGTCTTAAAGTACTAATAAGGTAACTGGGCCGTACATGATTCCAAAGGACATTGGCAGAGTTAATGATTTGGTATGCGTGCTAAGGGTTGAGTCTGTACTTCATGTCTGAATACATATTCTTTCCTGTATATTTTTTACTTTCTTTAAATCACTTGAGCACTGCATGATAAACATCACAAGCACAGTTTAGACTAGAACTCCCTCCCGAGCATTCGTTACATTTGTCAAAAACCTATTGTTAAGAGAAAAAAAATCATACAATTAAATCACACAAGGATCACAATATTTCACAAGAACCCAAGAATTAACATTTAATCTGGAAAGAATATTCATTTACAAACTTGCCTACAGAACCTAGGCTAAATATGTTAACAGAATGGGCTAACAAGTTAGATAGATAGATAGCACTTAATTAATCCCTGGGGAGTTCCCTTTGAGAAATTTGGGAAAGGTCAGTATTGATTGTAGTCATCATGAGTGTTCATTTTTGGTAAATACATTTAACACTGTAATGGAAGTGTAGGCTTTGTGGTATTTAAAAACAATGTTATGTAAATTCCTTTCTACTGTTTCTGCTTTTTATTGCTGTGCTGTATTTACGGCTATCGGGATGACTATACAGTAGCTGTGTTGAATCATATGTCATTTGACCTATTCATGGTAACAGTTCTTACAGACCACCAACTCTATAGTTTGTAATCAATCTCAGTTTTCTCTTGTCAGTTTGGGTAATTCCCATGGACTCATACCAACAAACCAACAACATGTCTCCAAGCATAGTATGCACAATGTGTATATTTTGTGTATCGGTGTAGACTGCTCATATTTACATTAAAAGTTCATTTTACACAGCCCTCAAACTTGAGTCCTGTTGGCATGTACATTTGTGACTAATCGGAGGCACAATCCAGAGTTGACCCCTGGCCTGAGCTTCCTCCACTCTGCAGCCTCCTACGGGCTGTCATTATTTGAAGTGAAGGGCCTGTGACATCACAGCGATTAGCACACAATGGTCACTGTGTTTTCCTACTGCGTCACAGAAGACTGCTTACCCCGCTGTATGCTAGGAAGATCCATGTGGGTGACCATCCTGCCTGTTAGCAATGTGTCACCATATAGTATCAGGAAGTGATATCTTCCATGTGTGTAAATTTGTGCATAAGCGCATCCGTATTATATGGCACGGTTTAGTCACAGCTTGAGGCTATGTGATGCATACCTAACATGTCCATGAAATGTTACATAAGGGTTGGAGCCTATAGCTGATTTTCCAAACTGAACTTATTGTTTTAGTATAAATAAAACCCAAAATAATATACATATAATATTTAAAATACTTATGCTTTGAATGGCTTTTCTTCCATGAAATATTGTAAACACCATCAAGATGCAGTCTTTTCTCAGTAGCTGTGGTACCTTTTTAGGATATGTTGTATAAATTACCTAAATGAAGCCACTTACAAAAAAGTATTGGTATAAAACTGCTGTACTCTCCCAATGAATCTCCAGTTAACCTTGTTTGAGAGAGTGTGCGTTGGTGGTATTTATGAGTTACTTTTTTTATTTATATTTAACAGAAAAGAAAAGTAAAAATGGTCAGTAAAAATGGACTATAGTTTGCTATTAACCCGCTTAATAACCATTGACACTAGTGGTTCTGTTTGGTGGAGACCTAGCAACCAATGTTTTTTAAGATGGGTTTTCAATGCATTTGTCCTGAACTTGCAAGAAATGCTTTTAATGCTACAAAATAATGCAGTTGTTTATACTATTCTTGTTGTGATGGAGGTTGAAGGGTAAAATGAGGTTGTTAGAGTTTATGCAGCTTTGGTGCTTTGCCTCAAGGGAAGTTTGTACAGAGTGCAGGTTTATCTTAAGACTGTTGAAACAGACTAATCAGCTTTTCAAGCTCTTGTCCCAAATTTGCCTTTTTGGCTGACTACTAATATGATCACTCATGTAAGGATTTATTAGTACAATGTACATCCAGACAAAGCCCTAAATGCATTAACAATTATTTTGGCAGCTGCTACTAGAGATCTGACAGTACTAAGATAGAGGAAATACTGTGTCGCACACTCAATATTTTTATATGTTGATTTAAAAAAAAAAAAAAAAAGAAAGTCAATTGAGGCCACTTCTGTAGACTTGGCTTCTCCTCGAGTCCAATTCCTGGGACATGTTTGTGTTGGATTCTGTGTGTTTTTATGTGCATCGTTGCTTGGGTGTGTGTTTTTCATGTGGGCCAACCAATGGCCACAAAGCCGGCAGTGTGTGCCCCCTCGGGTGCTGAAATGTACACTTTGTACAACAGGCGGCTTCAGTCCTCCTCAATAGGAGCTGCCCTTCTTATTGTACTTCACACACAATGAGCTTTTCTCTGTCTCGCTGTCTTTCTCTCTCTGTCTTTCTCTCTTTATGACCATAAACAGACAGTAATACTGACGCGACACTGCACAAATCAGATTCTGACTGATCTGTCTCTGCAACTGCCCTCCTATGTTTCATCTCAGGAAAAATATTAGACATTAAGATAAAGTAGAATATGGACAACTGTTAGTCAAGTTCTGAATTTTACCATATGGTAAATTTATTCAAATTTAATCATGCAACAATTAGTCATTGCAAAAGGGGAACTTGCTCCTGGTATTACCCACAGTAACTATGTGTTTGTGTATGTTTGTGTTTATACAACTATACTGGTGTTTCTCGTGGCATTTTTGCTCACATGATTTACCTAAGAACAGCAAGACCACATGTCTCTCACATGACTTCTTATACTTGTGGGAAGCCATCTTCAGTATACTTTTGGTTAGGGAAACAGAATTACGGCAAGTGATTTTACCGGTAGTTGTACTTTATCCCTGTGACCTGCTGTGAACTCTCTACTGGAGTACAGTATATCTGAAAACTGCAAAGCATTGCACATTAAAGAGGTCAATGTTTTATTGGCTGTCATTTCTCCGAGAGGTGATTTTATTTTATTTTTTTTAAATGCACTAACTCCATGAATATAAGTCCAGTACAGTAATAGGAGTGAAGTCAATATACTGCACTGAAAATATATGTTGAAGTGTAACGTGTATATCACTCTGATTAATCCAGCATTTTCTTCACCCTTTACTTATGTTTGTAGTTTCATCTATCTCTCGGGCTGGACTGCGGTGCATTGACGTCAGCTCGCCCTCCCCTGCCCCCTCGTCCCCAAGCAATGGCCTCACGCATTGGGATGCGGATGCAGGTAAAAGATATAGGACAATAAAAGTACATACCAACTTTTATAGCTAATAATAAACATCACAATTCGTAATTTGAGAGGAAGGCATTCTGGTCAGATGGTGTGGGATTTATTTGAAGTGTGTACCCATGTGGTGCCCGATTTTTTTTTTTCCACTGGCTGACTGTGTGTGTGTGTGTGTCTATTTGTGCGTTTTCAGCTGATGCGAGACCGTCAGCAGCAAGAGGAGCAGCGCGAGCGGGAGCAGCAGCAGCAACTCCAGCAACTCCAGCATCAGCATGCATCTCTGCAGCCTTACATGCAGCACTGCATGGCGGGCCCGCCAGCCCCCACCCCTGCTATTAGCACCCCACAGCATTACCAGAGCATGCAGGTTCCAGTGGAGGTTTTTAAGGTGGGAAAAAGATTTCTCCTCCTACAATGTGATTTGATGCAATTTAACAGTTTGTGAGAGATTCATTTGTAATTCACACTCAAATAAGAAGGAAAACTTTCAGTGAACAAAGTGTCACTTAAATGGAATAGCATTATTCCTATGTTGCCTCACAAATTTACAAATTGTATGTGGATTAGATAAGTCTCTGAAGTAAAAAACATCCAAACTGCCGACATTGTTGACCTACGTGTATATACTGAACTGTAGTAGGACAACACACAAATCTGTCTGACCATTGAACAGCTGCTTTTAGTAAAAAGCTCTTACAAGTTGCCGCTTTGGCTTGTGTTTTGAAATACGAGTATGAGTATTTCAATTAAATATTTGGCCCAGTACTGATACTGGCGTCGGTTTTGGTGCATCCCTAATGTAAGGGTAGCACTACCTCACACAGAAAACTCAGGGGCAGAGGAAATGGAATGGAACTGTAAACAGAGGTGAAAGCCTAATGAATAAGAAAAGGTTGACACAAGTTTGTGATTGTACAGACACTGGTAAGGCAGATTGTCTGGGTCGGAGTGGGGCAGATAAGTGACATTCTGACTGACTCCAAAGGTCCCTCTGTTTGTCTTTATCTTTTTTTGACGTGTATTTGCCTTTAGGTTCAATACTTAAAAATATGCATTTGTGTGTTAATATTCTGGCATTTTGAAACTGTAAATCTGCAGATAGGATTGACTGAAAACTACTTGACATTTTGACAGTTTACCCCGTTCCCGTGCACTGTATGTGTGTGGGTGTCTTTGTGGAATGCAGTTCATGGAGTCTTTGTGTTTCAGCCCAACCAGTATCTTTGCCCTTATGTTGTTGATAAGTGATCTGTGTGTCTGTCAGTCTGTCATTTATCCTGGTGCTGCATTTCTTTAGTCAACACTAATATTAATGTTGCCGGGCCGCAAAGGTCAAACAGTTATGGTCGGATTTCATCTCCTTCTCCTCTTAAATCTGCTGTTTATTTATATTCGATTCACGATGACTCATCCCAGTTGTTGATTGAAAAAGTAGGAACTGTTGAATTAATCAAAATTGTTTATTTTTCCATTAAGTGATTTTGTCTGCATAACTTTTTCTATGAATTTCAATTATTTGATTTAGGGACCAACCCATAGCTAGTTATAATTAACTAGCTATTGAAATGGTAATAGTTTAAATACAAGTCAAGACTCTCATTGTCAGGTCATTGGTTAATGTCACTAATGATTTTTGTCATTAGTAACAAGAGACCCTGTGTTCTTAGGAAGAATTGTTGAAGTTTGGATTGAGAACAAAATAATGTTGTTAAAAACTGAAATACAATTTGTCTTATTTTACATATGGCTCACTGCAAACAATCCCACTTCTACAACCATTAGTGCACATTCAGTCTTTTACCTTTGGCTCAATCTCGAACTACAGCCATGCACACAATCTATTCATGTTCATTTATATATGAAGTCTATGGATTTAGCTCAAAAATCTTTACCAGATTTTAATTCCTGTCTCCCTACAGGTACAAACCCACCTTGAGAATCCTACAGACTACCACCTTCGCCAGTCGCAGAGGCAACAGGTTAAGGAATACCTGTCCACGACCTATGCCACCAAACAGGTATTTGTCTGGATGTTATTTATTCACTTAAAACATATACAGTATACATTATATTTTTTCTTTTCTCTATTTAGTTTAATATTTGCTTCAACATGATTATTTATTTCTCCCTTCTTCTGTTATAGGCGGTCCTTGCGGTAGCAGGGATGTTTCCAACAACATCTCCCACAAAAATGAATGGTTCGACCTCTGCCCCCCCAACCCTCCAGTCCCCACACATGCGAACTGAGCAGCTCATGTCTGGCAACAGTGCACCCAACAGCCCCATGGCCATGCTCAACCTCAGCTCGAGCCATGAGGTATTCTTCTGCGTTTCTGCACAGATTGTAGCTTAAACATCACATGCTTGCAGTGTATTCTAGGTATCCAGCTTTACAAGATGCAAATTGTACAAAAATCTCTAAATTATGACATAATTACTCTGCTATATAAAGTTACGAGGATCGAAAATTACCCTGGAGTGACATCTCTTGTTTTATAGAGGCCTCATAATGATGTATTTGGTTTTAAGTGTCTGCAAGTGTGCAGCAGTCTTTGCACTGTAAGTGTGTAGGGCAAAAAGTGTTGACTAACTAGCAATAACTTTACTCTGGCTATCACCGGGATTTAAATGCTTCATTACAACCTTGCTACAGCAATTACAGCTTAAAAAGTGACAGGGCCAAACACTCTTTGGACCTGTCAGACTTTGACCAACTCTCCATGTGCATGGTACTCATCTTTTTCTGTGTCACAAAAATAGTGTCAGTGTTAATATGATCGAATAAATGAGAGAATGTAGAGACGGTGGTGTGTGAGTGTGATTGAGATACCATTTCTTTTTTTGCATTTTTTAAAAAGTGTATTATTATTGTTGGTAAAGTTTTAAAACCCACATTAATTAGGGTTTGTCGGTTTTGTCTGTTTTTTTTTTTTTTGTTTTTAGATGGATGACGTCATTGATGACATCATTAGCTTGCGGTCCAGTTATGATGATCCGGCAAACGTTGACCTTGTGCAGATGCCCAACACTGTGAGTAAAACAGAAAGACAAAACGCATTATTACTTCATTACTTTTATTTTCAAAAGTAATCCTTGATGACCCAAGGTAGAATTGTTTTTGTATTTGTTTTTTAAAAAAACAATACAATCTCAACATTTAAACATCCTCAAACTACTGATGGAATTAACTTTGGTATTTTCCAGGGCATTTTTTTACATGTTGTATAATTAATTGGAATTTGATTGTGTTGTTCAAGTTTGTCCTTTTAAAACAACATTAGTCCCAATGTTAAAAAGTGGAAAAAAATGTATGCAATGAGAAATGGAATTCATTCAGAAAAACTCAAACTTTTATTTATTAGTTAAATGGACAAACAACAAAAATGTGTTTTAATGACTAGTTTAATTGTAATTAATAGCTTGTAATAGTGAAAGGAGCATCAACCAAAGGCCCGCTCTCTGTGTGATTTTCTTTGGGAAGTCCTTGTTGCTCATCAAAATTAAAATTGTATCATGCGAGAGAGGAAAAAAAACCCCAAACAATTAAGAGTGTTCTAATCAAACCTTAATACCTATGAAAACGTAGTCCAACAAAGCACCTTCCCACCTGAGAGACATGTCTTCGTACATTGTTTCTTGTTCTTTGTCTTTCTGTTTTCCTTCCCATGTCTTTTCCATCTGTCTTTGCTCCTAATCTGTTGCTGGTATTAGGGATGGTTATGGTTTTTGTACAAACAGAAATCCAAAAGTGTATCATTACTTTAAGCTCTACCTTTGAAGCGGAACAAGCAACATTTTAAATCCCGACTGTATGGACCGGTGTGTATGAGGGGACAAACTTAGTGAAATTAACAATTAAACTGCCAGTGGTTAGCGTTCAACTTGTTTTCAAGACATTTAGACAGGGAGGGTGGTGGAAAAGAAGAGGGGGAGGCCAAGAAGGGAGGAGGCAAAAGGGGGATGTGTGCAATTTGTGCTACGGGGAAAACAGGCTGAAAGTCCAGTAAGGGGAAAGTTCACTCTTGTTTGGTGGGAAGCAGGAGTAGAAGAGAGAAAGATTAGGTGCTGCCGAGGTTATTCTCAGAGGGCGAGGGAGACGGTGGCAGAGAGAGAGAGAGAGAGAGAGAGAGAGAGAGTGTGTGAGTGAGCTCAGAGTGGTTCCTGTGAGAGAAGAAAGTATCCTCTCTGAGAAGGAAGGAACAGTGAGAAGATGAAGGAGATGAGTAAGACGTATGCCATTGTGGAAGTTATTGAAGGAGAACAGATCCAGCTGGTAAGACAGTGATGTGTTATTTTTAAGCAATGTTAAATTTCCACTTACACATAGTTAACACTAGTGGCTATTGTGAGTTTTTTTTTTTGGTTGAGCTAAAGCAGGCTGGAGCTGATGGAGGAGCAGCTCTAACTCCCAGCCTCGGGTCCCTGATTATAGGATGAGCCAGTGTGTGTGTGTGTGTGTGCATGTGTGTGTGTTTAGGCCACAGTTGCGTTTGAACATATTTTTGCTTACACAATATTGCAGGCCTTATCAAGTTAAAGAAGCGTGTGTGTGTGTGTGTGTGAACTTCGTGTGTGTGTGTGTATCAAAGTGAACCAGACAGGAGAAGCCTGTGTTATGTAGATTTATCTTTTGTCCTCTGTGATTGATAAGTAAAATCTGTGTGTGTGTGTGTTGGAGGGGGGTGGGGGGATCTTCGTCCATGCCTGCGTGTGTGCAGTGCACATGTGTATCATCACACTGATTGATTAGTTCAGGTCATTGATCAGTATGCGTGGAGTCAAGACAAAAGCTTGACGAAGATCAACCACAGCCCGTAGTCTCTTTCAAACCCTGTAACTGATGAGAATGTCTGAGGTCAGTATGTAGTTGTACAAGCTTTGGAAAGTGCATTTGGAGCTGTATTTCTAGCTCAGTGACAAGTAGGTAAAACTTACCTGCTAATCCTGAGGCGGATTAGAGTGGCAAACTGCATGGAATTCTTGGAATCTTAAAGTTCAGTAAGAACTGGAAACACCACTTAATACCAGGCACAAGTGAGTAGTTTGGTTCTTACATGTGTGTGTGTGTGTGTGTGTGTGTGTGTGTGTGTGTGTGTTGATGGGTACAGATGGGTAGACTGGGTTGTACTGATTCCCAGGCTGCTTTAATCAGGCTAGATGGTATGTTGTGTTGATTGTCAGGCTGCTCAGATGAGACTTGGGAAGTCTGCGACTGTGTGGACTTTCTAGTTAACCAAAAAATTACAGTTAAGACGACTTAACGGCTTATATATATATGTATATGTATATGTATATATATTTATATTCTCGTGTCACCTGAAGATGGTTTGTTTGTGTATGAATATGTTGAGTTTTACACCACACACAGTAGTCAGCAGATAAGACAGATGCACCTTATCTTATCTTACCCCCGGGGGCATAAATCTTCATCTCACTCTATAAACTAGACAATTAAAAGGAAATTAGGTTGTTTTAGGAGCACGGACTAAACAAAATCACAGTCGTTACACAACGTCTAAAGTGCAACGTTCTAGTGGCCTCCTCAGAAGCAGTGAGTTCAGGAGCTGCAGGGAGCAAAGAATCAAACCATAAAGAGTGATAGGACAGATAAGATGATGGTCAATCATTGCTGTGTATTTGGCAGGTCACTCTAAGGTGTCATATCACTTACATTACCTCCTGCTATCTGCAATTTTACAACACACTTCACGCCAATGCCACCACTGTAAAGTTACTCATATAAGTGTCTGAAGCTGTAAAAAAAAAAAAAAAAGAAAATTTGAGAGAGTTTGGATTAAACACAGAACTGTTCTTGTTTTAGGAAGTTTATGATTGTTTAAAATCTCCTATAAGTGAGATGTTCAAATGTATAACAGAGGAATGTCATTCATTTGGAATTCAGACAATGTCGCCAAGTAATCTGCTCACAGATCACCATACTGTCATATGACCTCACGCTTTAATGTGGTTTAATATGAGGTCAAATTTTCATGAAGGCGTAAAGAATTCTTTTTCACACTCGTTGCACTTTCTTTATCTCACATTTACAAACTGCAATTTATATTTGTCATCCATTCTGAGAACATTTCCTAAATAATTAAACCTATTGTGCAAATGTGTTTGTGTGTGTGTGTCAGCTCCCTCTGTCCAGCAGTCATCTGGATGTGTACACAGGTCCAGGGATGAAGGGACCAGCGATTGCTACAACCAGTAACTCCTGTCCTGCCAACTTGAACATCAAACGGGAACTGTCAGGTGGGAAAATCTGGGAGAAGTTTCTGCACACGATCCTGACGGTTGTGGGCAGATTACGACAGACGGCTGTTTGCTCTTTGAGACTCTTTTATTAACCATTTTTTGTTTTTGCAAAGACACAGAAGCCCGAGCTCTGGCCAAGGAAAGACAGAAGAAAGACAACCACAATTTGAGTAAGTATTTTTTTTCTTTTTTCAAACAATGCATGTTGCACATTATGCACATGTCAATTTGTCTTTTGCTAAAAAACAGTTCCACATCTTCCTTCTTTTATTTAGCTGACTTAGTAAAATGAGAGGTAGATGTTTAACTTGATCATTTCTGCTGTTCCAGCACTAAGGTTTAATTGCCTGTGACTGTGTGTTTGTGTGATCAGTGAGCTGTACTTGTACCAGTGCCGGGTCACTGTATCCATAGACCGTATATAAGGAATGACCCTGTAATAAATTTTAAACTGGATATTCAGGGTGCTGCCTGTTTCTTTTCTTTTTCTTTTTATCTTGAACAGTTGAAAGAAGAAGGAGATTCAATATCAATGATCGCATCAAAGAACTGGGCACCATGATCCCCAAACCCAACGACCTGTGAGTTGCTCTACTAAACTGTTGATTCATATTGGGAGATACTTAATATATAAATTTCATATGCGTTACTTACATGGAAATTGCCTTGTTTTCTTTTAAGTGATGCACGCTGGAACAAGGGCTCTATACTGCGTGCGTCCGTGGACTACATCAGGAGCATGCAGAAGGATGCACAGCGGACCAGAGAGGTGGAGAACAATTTCAAAAGAATGGAGATGGCCAACAAACAGCTGTTGTTACGCATCCAGGTAACACACAAACACACACACACATACAGGACCCATCAGGGTTTCCCCTTAGGAAACAACCGGCCTTTGTGTCAGTGACCCCCATTTAAAACTGTTGAGATTTAATGGGAAACGTTTCAGTGTAGGACAACGGCGCTCTTTCAATTGTCTTCCTTTCTGTTCTGGTCTTAATGTGTCGTATCCCTCCAATCACAGAAGCAGCTCAGAGAAATGGCATGCACTGAAGTTTGATGTGTTGATATGATGTTGTTTGATCTGTATGAAGTGTCAATCATGCACTGAAGTTTGATGTGTTGATATTAGATCTGTATGAAGTGTCAATATTTCTCATTCACTGTGTCGAGTGTTTGTAATCAGAAATGGCTTTTAATATAGTTAACGATGAAAAACAAAAACACTGGGGTTGATGTGAATCATCCTCTGTTTTAAAAGTCTCTTTCTCGCTGTCTCTCTCTGTCTCTCTCTGTCTCTCTCTGTCTATCTTGCATACGGAAAGTCACTATCTGTAAGGTAAACCTCAACAACATGACATAGAAAATAGCAAAACAGACTGAAAAGCAACTTAAATAATTATAATTCAACATTAAGAGAACAAATCCATTTGTGGTTTTAAAAAAGAAATCCATTGCTGCCCCCGCCCCGCATGTTTCACTCCACTTTTTTTTTGCTATTCCCTCTATAAATAAAATTACAAAAAAAAACTCCAAACAGCTGACATGATGAAAATTGCACTGTTAGTGAGGTGCACTGATCTGCCACTGTCTGCAGGAGTTGGAGATGCAGGCTCATCTGCACGGCCTGCCCAACACCTCCCCCTCTGGCCTGAACCTGGCTGACCTGATGGCTTCTTATATAAAACAAGAAATCAGCCCAGAGGAAAAGCTTTCTCATCCCCAAATACAAGTCCACCACCCACCACAGCAGCTACCCCAGAACCAGTCTCAGCCCCTAACCCACCAGCACCTCTTTATGCCACAAAACCACCTCCAACCTCAGAGCCATGCACAGCCTCAGCCCAGGCATCTACCACCCCTCCCCCAGCACCTCCATCAACAGCCACCTATCCAGTTGCCTACTGTGGGCAGCTCCCAGCCCTTTGACTATGCCCAGTCAATGGACTTATGCGATGGTATACCTGGCTTTTCAGACGACCTGTCAGGCCTGGCTGAACTGGGGGGAATGGATGGCCAAGAGAGAAGGTCTGACTTGGGGTTCCTCATGATGGAAGAGCCTTTGTCTCCGATGGCTGGTGACCCACTCCTGTCGGCAATGTCACCTGAAGCCTCGGTTGACTCCAGCCGCAGATCCAGCTTCAGCATAGATGATGGGGACATACTGTAGACACGTGCGCGCGCACACACACATCCTCACCCCACACCCCCCAATGCCCCCCACACCTCACACAAAAGCACATGCAGAGATTTCAGGGTGTTTGCAAAGATCCAGGACAGAAATCAAATCTAATTTACAACCTGCACAAACTCACACCTTGGCACAGACCAATACACACTGGACACTCAATGGTGCGATTTAAAAAAAAAAAACAAAAACAAAAAAAAAAACAAGCAAAATCCTTATGTTTTAAAATACTTAATTATGTTATAACCACATGCACTTGTTTACCCAAGTGTGTGTGAAATAACACAAGTGGTTAAAAAAAATTCTTGCCCACATACCGAGCATTTACAAGGGGAAAGGGGGAAGGGGGGCGACACTGCCTGGTCAGGAAGTATACATGAAACTTGGCCTTGTTACGGTGAAGGTGGCTCTGAATCATAATTGGATGTGGGATAAAACGCAGCAGTTAATTAGATTGAAGTTATCAGATACAAGGACAACCAAGTGCATTGTCTCACTTGATAGAGGACAAGTTATTTTCCCCTTTACACCAACCTCTTTTAGTAACCATAAATGATTGAGTGAACGATAGTGAATAAAATGGAAATAGCTTCATGGCCCTGCATGCATAATTTATCTTAGGGCCATTCAGTGCAGTCACATTGTTCTGTGTTTTTCCACAGCTCACTTCTGCCCTGAGCACCAGCCGTGGTGTCAGACAAATATCATTTATTACACCCCTCAGTTTGTACGCTTTTAATTATTCATTGTGTGCTATGACAGTTTTTTTTTTTTTACTACAACACACTGGGAAATGTCTGTCATCAAAGGAAGTAGAACGAAAGAAAACGATACTTTTTAAAATCCAGTCCCATAAAAAAAAAATCTGCGAGGTTAAGAAACTCAGGTACTGTTTCAGAATGCACAAGCACTATTGTTTTAATGTCGCGTCACTGTGCCTTGTGATTTTGTGAAGCTGCTGCTCTCTCTCTCTCTCTCTCTCATTCAATTTTTAATATTTAGAGGTGATAACACAGGGTGAAGACCGACTATCATGATTTTTTTTTTTAAATGCACACAGAAGATTTCATTTACATCCACGCCAGCTAGGATTTATTAACGCGGGAGTTGCGCTGTTCCGTCACTGAAGGACTGAAACATCAGATGTGGTTGTTTCTGTCAGCTGACAGCTGCAGCCGTTGTAGTCATCGCTGGGAAAATAGCAGAATTGTCACAAATTGGCCTTTGTTCACATGCTTTTATTCACAAATTGATGTGCTTTTAACACGCACTCTCCCACCTCTGACGTTCACATATGCGTTATATAACACACGCACACACACCACATGCACTCGCACACCATGCTCAGCTGTCTCAGATTGGTGTATTAACAAACCTCCCATTCTTCAGTGCCTCAGTTGATTAAGTGGAGTCGAGTTGTAAGTTGTAGAAGTAGACGACAGACTGGCTTTGAAACAGAAGTCACAAAGATTCTGTTTGTCTGACGTACAGGGCCGTTGTAGTTACAGCCATAGACCATCAATAAATGATGGACGTACCCGTGTTGTGATAATACACCAGCTGAATGCAACTCTTGTCTACAGATAAGGACAAAATTATGAGCTGACCCTAAAAAAAGAACTGGACGGGTCAAATAATTAAATTTTGTAACGAGATAATGTTTTGTCCAGGGCTGTGAATACAAAACAAAGTTTTTACACCTCACTTGTATCAGATCATGAGCAAACATTTGGAGAATCAGAGGTTAATGGTCTGAATCGTCCGTTGTCGCTGGTTTCTTCAGTGTAAAAATATTTTAATTTTGTATATTTCTTTAATTTAGTGAACGCCCGGTGTGATTGGCAAGTAGCTTGAGAAAAAGTCTGCGATTCTTCCCTTTTTAAAAACAAAACAACTTTGAAACAGGAACGTGTTCTTAGGCCGCCTTCATTCTTTCACTGTGGTCTACGACAGCTGTCCCTGAATCATTCTCACATAAAGTAGACGAGGATCTCGGCTTTTTAGGTCTTAGAGTAGCTTATGATGAGTACTGATGAAGAGTAGGAAAAGAAATCTAAAGGTGATTCTTCTTCTGATTAAAGAAGTGTTTGTTTTATTGTAGTTTGTTGTTTTGTTTTATTCTCGAAAAGCACTGGAAAACATGTTGGTTTGACTTTGTATATAAAAGAGTTATGAAATAAGATTTATTCAGATATTTTATGCCACTTAAAGCCACTTAAATGTATTTGATATTTTGTTTCAGTTTCATTACAGGCATATTCCAAAGTTTTTTTGTGTGTTTTTGTTTTTCCCCGTTATAGCCATTTTGTCTGAGACTTAGTAAAGACACGGTCAGACCAACAGTGTTTGTTTGTGTAAGACGTTTGGAGCCATTTTTTTAACCAGATTTTCTGTGACTTTAAAATTATTTATGGTTTTTACAAGACTGGCATTTGATTTTCGCTGTCTATTTAAACGTTTTTATCAAGGCTACGGGAAAATTCTTCACCGACTCCTGTTTGCTTGTGTTTTGAATGTACAGTGGTTTTGTTGAGACAGAAAAAGCAGTTGAACAGTTGGCCTCGCTCTCTGTTCAACAAGTAAATAAGGTACTTGATGAAAAGTCTGAGTTATACATTTGTACTCACTTTACTTTTGTTTCTGTACATCTGCCAAATTTGTGCCTTTTCCATATTACCCCCCAGTCCCAACTGTTTTATTGCCAAAGCACTCCCATTTTGGACCTTCCCCCAGTAGAGGGAGATCTACAGAAGAAACTGCACAGGGAAAAAAGCAGTTCTGATTTAACTGAATATATAAAATGTTAAACCAGAAAACGGTCACTGTGTTTTTTTATTTATTTAACCGGCATATCAATGTGACTTTTAAAATTTTACAATAAATAATCAAGTCAGTGTTTTCTTCTTTTTTTTTCCAATTTATTTTAAATGACATCATTTGGTGATATTTGGTGACTAACATCCAAACACGCAACAACAACTCTCCTACTGTTTAGATACATAATTCCCCTACAAGAAACAAAATATTCATACATTAACAAAAAATAAATACATTTAAATACAGGTACAAAAACTCCAACCATTGTGGTATGCATACAAATAAGGTTTTCTTTAAAGATTTTCAACCCTGTCTTTTGTCCTCCCACATTCCTAAAGCATACGTGATTAGGTTAACTCTTGGTGAGTGTGAGTGTGAGTGGTATTTTGTGTCCACGTGGTCCAGACTGTACCTCCGTCTAATAACTGCTGGGACTGAAGGGATTAAAAGGGAAAAGATGAATAAACAAATTAACCTTTTATCAGTCGGCCTCCTCTGAGGCTCTGCTAAGCTGAGCTAATACTGATACCCCCTACCTGGCCCATGCTTGCTTCTCGCATGGGCGGTTTTCTGGGGCGCCATCTGCTGGAGGTCATGGGCGGTTTTCTGGGGCGCCATCTGTTGGAAGGGAGATGCTATAACCCCCTCATCCAATCAGAACAACAGAAATGAAAAATATATAATAGTAATAATTTGCAGACCTAGTTGATGTCCTTTCCTCTTGATCTGTGAAAATAGCATAATAAACAAATCATTATTTATTTTGTAGGCTCAAGATTTTAACCAAGTTAGGAGGAAAATGCAGAACACTAGGTGAAGTTTACTAGTTTTTCAAAATGTATTTATTGATCTTGACAAAGTGCCAAATGTGTGTCTAAGTCTACGGTTAATGATATCACACATCGCCCAGTGATTATATCACGTGTTATTAATATAGTAAGACTTAGCAGCATAACCAACCCATGTTGTTTCAATAAATGTCCACCAGGGGGCACCAGAGCTCTGTACTGCATCGTCAGCCCCGTATCTTCTGTGACGTTATTTAAATGCGATTTGCAGATAGACTGAAACAGTTTACAACTTAAGGCTTGTCTACAAATGTTTCAGGTGAGATTTTGCGTCTTGTTTATTCACGAAGAGTTTTTGTTTTTTTTAAGATAACTGGTACATTTTAATTCATTCATTTGAAATCTTTTTTTTTAATGACATGTTTTCTGAGCGGAGATGAGCTTTATATTTTTCCTGCCTACTTTTGTTTGCCTCTGCTCGTCTCCAGCCTTTTCCATCACCTACTAAAGTATTAGACTAAGGCGACTTTAGGATGATCCCTAAACCACTTAACAGACCTTCTTAAGTCAAATCAACATAATCTTATTCCTCGCCTTGGCCTCCTACACACACACACACACACACACACATCACGACTGATGCGGCAGCGTGTGTTAAAAATGCAGTGGTGGTATCTGCAGTCCATCCATGGGCCCATTCTCCTGGGTCTTTATGATGCTAATGTACTCCACAGTCTAATAAATCCCCGTAGAGCTGCGAAAAGGTAGATCTTATGGCTCGCCCTGATCGTAACCTTTCTGCCCGCCACCCTCCCCAACACACATTAGTGAAGCAGAAATGCCTGCCTTGCACTTCTGCACTAACATGGGTGGCAGTTTAGTTAGAAGGAGAGGGGGGAGAGTTGAGACAAATCAAACATGAAGGTGCAATTTAAAGGATGTTGGCAAAGTAGGTGCAGACATCAGTCATGGTAAGGTGTGTGTGTGTTCTAACAGCAGTTAGAAAAGGATCACCATGTGGCTTTCAGGTGTGAAGAAGAGGAAAAGTTCTTGGGTTTCAGGAAACATTGAACAGAAATCTCTGTTCAGAGCAGAAAAAGAGATTTTTTTTTTGGATGTGGATTAAACCAGGCTTCATTTCCTTCTCCAATTGATGCGCATGTTTATCCTTCCTCCTTCTTAACTCAGTTCCTCTTCCTCTGGCCACAGGGGTGTGTGTGTCTGTGTGTGTGTGTGTGTGTGTGTGTGTGCAGTAGTGAGAGAGTCCTTCGTTCCTCCTTTAATCCCCAGACAGCTGTGCGTCACTCAGATTGAAGCCCACGGAAGTAAGGTGAAAGAGGCTGATTGAGCTAATTTAGCCCCTGGATGTGGGAGCAGCAAAGGCCTCACCCTCTGCTAATAGACAGACATCAAAATGGAGATGAGGGAGGCTAAAAGGAGGGGAGGGGGGGAGGCACTATAAAACTGAGACCACTTTTTGATGGATTCATCTCTTTTTTGTCCAGTGGGATATGTTAAAAAAAAAAAAAAACTTTTATGAACGCTCGGTGACATTGCAAAGTTGCTAGAGGTTTATGTCTGTTGCCTTGGATTAAAAACCTGCTGATATTGCTTATTGATCCACCCTCCTCCATTAAGATGCCGTCCGTCATGTCTGCTTTACGGCCACCCTCCTGTCCATGACCCCAAACTGTACATCCTGGCTGACAGCAGAGCGGGAGTCGCACCAAAAAACACTGACTTTGGCCCAAAGAGACAAAGTGAGGAGAGACTTTTTATGGCGTTTGCTGTCATACTTTAGTGCCACCTGATGACCTGCCATCAAAACCTCTGAGGAAGATGACACACTGACACTGCATTGATTTTACGTACATAAATCACCAATACCTGAACATTTAATTGGAGAAGGTCCACGAGGTTTGTGTGGCACCTTTGGAACACTGATAATTACACACTCACTTGGAAAGTGATTGAAAGAAAGCAGCAAAAAGTCACTGGTTCGATCCCCCATTGAGTCTGTCAGTGTGTTCTTTTGTGACTTTTTACAGTCCAAACACATGAAGATGAGGTTCACTGTTCACAAGTTCTTAATGTTAGTGTGAATGGTTGTTTGTCTCTATACGTGCGACGCAATCGCAAATTGTTTGGACATATTTGAATGAATTTTCACTCCTCTGCTTTCCTGGTGAGTTCCACCATGTTGTTCGATGCTTTGGTTTAGGTTTTTTGGTCTTCCTCTTCTTCTGCTTCCTTGCACTATTCCCACGAGGAATGTGCTTGCTCCTTGCAATACCTCAAAATTCAAGTTTTCGTCTGTTCAGGATGCTTGTTTTTAACATTGCACACGGAATGGTTCAGTGTGACGGAGAATAATAGTGAGCTGAAAAATGTCTTGATGGTCTGCAGCAGATGTTTCTGTCTTTCCTAATGTTCCTAATGTTTCCTATGTTGAGTTATTCTTTACGGGGGTGGGGATTTTCTATACTTAAGTCTTTGTCACATTAAGAAACAACCAGCCTCTGTACTCAGACTTTGTCAATTGGTTGTTAAAGGTCCACGCTGCTACAATGTGTTCTTGGACATTTTCCTCCTTATGATGGATTCCGTCAGTCTTCAAAATACATTCAAGTTACAGTTTTCATCTGTTCGTTTTATCGTGATTTTAATTTTCCACTCACACTTCAATAGAGCAGGTGTTTGTACGAGTGGCTCGGTGTCTATGACCTTCAACAGGACAAACTGGTAGAAGAGGAGTGATTGAGTGAGTAAATACCAGTGTGGTCCACAGGTTGTTTGCTCTGACATTTACCAGAAGAACCATTATTATCAGATCTCACAAATGCCCCTCTTACAGGAACCCCACCCAGTACTTACTAACTAAATTGGTCTCACACCGTCGCCCCCATCGCCCCCTTGTGCCCCCTGTCCACCCACACTCTACATTCTTCTGGCCCCTTTTATTTTAACAATCCTTTGTCCGTCTTCCTCTAAATATTTAATACCGTCCGTTGACTCCTCTCAACCCCTCGTGCCTCTATTCCTGAAAGAAAAGGAGCTCAAATTGGCTGGAGAGATGAATAATGTCCCCGCCATTAACAGTGGCACGGACAGATTCATCTTTTCATGGAGGTGAGGAGCAGATGAGCTGCAGGAGAGGTTTTGAGTAGATGCTGCTGCTTCTGCTGCTGCTGGGGACAGGGCATGGTCAGGGTCTTTTTCTTTTCTCTAACTCGTGTGAAAACCTGTGGTTTCAAGGCTGTGCTGAAAAAAAAATCAGAAAGAGAATAATGTTTTGTCTGATTTGGTAAAGTTATTTTGTAAAAACAAAACCCAACAATTACAGAACTGTAAAATGATAACTGAAAATTTTAGTTGATAAACTGTTCAAAACATGGTGGAAAACAATCACACAGGGATTGAGTATTTATAGAATTATAATTTAATAGTCGACTGGTTTGCTGTCCATTTCTCTTTTTTCCACCTTTTATCCAGTAGGGGGCGGTAGTGTTCCACAGCACAGTAACACAGAGCCTGTTGAAACGCCGCACCTGATTGACATTCCTTAGCTCTGGAAATGAATATGTTGTTTGCACTTGGGGTGAACGTCGTCGACTTATGGCAGAGAAAACATCTGCTGCAACCTGGTGTAAAATGAAGACGTGGTGTCGTCACTGAGGCGTGAACTGGTACCAGGACAACTGCTGTCGCACTGATTGGATGATAAGAAACAGTTAAAATATACTATTAGGTAATGTATTTGCATTATGTATATTATTTAATAATATATATATTTTACATATGTAGAAATATATACATACACATAACAAATATAATATATATATATATATTTTACATATGTATATATACATACACATAACGTATATATATTTATGTGATATATAATGCAAATGTATATTTTATTATTTATCTATACATATACAGCACGTAATGTATATGTACTGTGTATATATATACATATATTTACATATATATATTTATTACCAGTTTAAGTCTCAGTGAGATCCTATATCTTAAATTAAATCTCATATGAAACCAGTACAATAACCGACAGAAAATTTCAACCAGATTTTTTACTGGTTCCCAGTCTGAAAACATCATTTTTCTAAGTGCTCTGTTCTCTCCATCCTTTAAAAGTCATGTCAAGTCTTACATTTCCAGCTCCTTTTGTCAGTTACTCCAGTCAAATGCCGCAACGTTGTTAACACTTTCTTCCCTGGTTCTGTCCTGACTCTGGGGTCGACATTTGACAAATTAAAATAACGAGACAG